GTAATTTCGATCTCTCGCGCACAACTATTATTGAGTAGACTTTGTCATAATTTATTAACGATCATACATTATTGGTCGCACAGGGTTTGGAAAGAGTTTATTCGGCAACACCGCAAGGATTGCAAGGCACCACTTTATGTAGTTGAAATACCAGTAAGTTGTACTATATATACTTCCCCACGTGTTTAATTACTATATCGTACTTCAATTTACGTGTGAGATGATGAGAATAATCTTCTTCTCGTACAGTGGTGTTTGCGGCAGCAACCAGGTAATAACTTGTGTGGATACTACGTTTGTGAATTTATCACTGCGCACATAAGAAGAACTCCTAAAGATGTCCTCAGAGTACGTATATATCAATTTTTTATTTATTTTTAAATGAATATATATATATATATATATGTATTAATACTTTTTCTTTTATTTCAAATGCAAGACTGAATGGTTGAAACAAAGGGTCATGCGAAAAGACCATCTAAAAATAGTTCAAGAGTCAATAGCAGGATTTCTTCTAGAAAAAGTGCTAAATCCCAACGGCGAGTTCTACTTTGATCCTAAGGAATAAATGATGTAAATTAAAAGTTTATTGATATCGTTATTTTCGAGAACAAGATTATGAAAGTGTTGTATATATACATATATATATATATATAATATATATAGTTTCATACTTTATTCGAATATAATAATGCTCGAGATGAGAATTAGATGTACTTATATGCGTGCGTGTATTTATATTAGCAGCGTAGAATACGTACATAAAAACATATTATATATTAAACAAATATGTGAAACTGAACTGAAAACAAATTAAACAAAAAAAAAGAAAAAGAAAAGAAACATTTACCAACCGGGACTAAAGGGTGCGACCACGTTTGCTCGGCTAGAGGGATTTTAGTCCCGATTGATATCTTTAGTCCCGGCTCGATGACCCAAGACTGAAGGTTCCACCTTTAATTCTGACATCGTTGTAGGCCATCCTGTAGTAGTGTCCGCATCAACCCCCACGTCGAGGAACCAATTGAAAATCGCCGTCACCGACGTCGCGTTCGCGTCGTGCGGGGCAGCTGGTCCCCTGGAGGCAGCAGGGAATAGGAAAAGGGAGTAGGGAGGGGTGGAAGGCGTGCGGAAATCGGAAACGGCTTGCGGCGCCGGCCGCTTGCGGGCTGGATACGGGTAAGGAAATGGCTGTCGCTGGTTTTTTTTTCTTTTCTCTTTCCCGGGGGCAGGGAGCGGAGCGAGAGTGTTACTTTATCTCACAAGACTTCACAGTTCAAACACGTGTGCGCATAGAATATCTGCATCCTCTTGATGTCATTGTGACGCAAAGTTCTCAGCTGGAAGAGTCTTGGATGATTCTTCCATTTCGAATCCCAAGGTTGGCAGCAGTTGAGATCAGGTGAAATGTTGCAAATCTGCTTTCGGAGAGCAAAAATAAGCCAACACACAGAGAAAGGAACGGTAAGACGAGGATTAAGTCATCGATTGTGAGTTATATATGATAGGATGGTGCATAGTGGCACATTTATACTTCTTCTCGGTTGCTAAGTCCTATCCTCCATTTTCGTTCACTTGACGCCGCATCTTTTTTTTTCACTCAGAAATTCTGATCGTGCATCTTTTCTCTGCACAAACTTTTTCATTACTTGAAAACTCATATTATATGATTTGCTTCGAAAAATACTTCATAAGTGTTATTTGGAGTTTTATCAACGATTTGCTTCTGTAGGTGGGGACATGGTGTTTTTAGAGTCCTTTTGCGAGGAATTACAAAAGGCCTTGTTTAGTTCCAAAAACTTTTTCCAAAAAGTGCTACCGTAGTCATCACATCGAATCTTGCGATACGTGCATGGAGCATTAAATGTAGACAAAAAAAACTAATTGCACAGTTTGGTTGGAAATCACGAGACGAACGTTTTAAGTCTAATTAGTCCATGATTGAATACTAATTGCCAAATAAAAACGAAAGTGCTACAGTATCCAAAATCCCAAACTTCACCCAACTAAACAAGCCCAAAGAATTTTTTTCAAAAAAATGTGAATTAGAAGAGTTGGTCGACGAAATATGAATCAGAAACTCAATCTTGATATCCATAAGAACACTACATTCTTGTTACCATGAGATGTATTGGCCGCTATAGATTATTTGATTATTTTTTAACTATATGAAAACCTGTTGTAGAGGGAAAAAAACATATGATCAAAATTGCAACAACAATTTATTGGTAAAAGCCATCACTCGCTGCATCTCAAAGCGAGAAAAAAAGAAGAGGAGAATCACTCTTCAGTCCCCATCACCCATCAGTACATGCATGTCCACGTCCGCCTCTGCTTCGGTCGTGCACGTAGGTGCAGGCGGGCCATGCCTAGATGCCCTCCCCTGCAACACCACTGTCAAGCAGGAGCGGCACGCCCCCATCAGTCCCCAGGAACCAGCTGTTCCTTTGCCGCGGACAGCCGCCCCCGTTCGTCTTCTCCGCGTGTGAACACCCGCATCGCATCGCAGGCATACCTATAAATACCACCTCCCAAAAAACCACACGCTCCACACAGCACTCAAGCTCCTCAAGCTCAAGACAACCGAGCAGCTTCACTCCACTCTCAACACCGACCTCAAGCAGCCACCAGCACTTTAGCAGCAGCAGCAGCAGGTAGCCATGGACATGGGCCGCCTCGAGTTCTCGCCATCCTCCTCCTCCTCCACCTCGGCGTCGTGCTCCTCGTCGGACCACAACAAGAAGGCGGTCTGGTCGCCGTCGTCCTCGTCCTCCCCGCAGCCCGTCAAGAAGCGCCCCGCGGGGCGCACCAAGTTCCGCGAGACGCGGCACCCAGTGTTCCGCGGCGTGCGCCGCCGGGGCGCCGCGGGCCGGTGGGTCTGCGAGGTGCGCGTCCCGGGGAACCGCGGCGCGCGGCTGTGGCTCGGCACCTACGTCGCCGCCGAGTCCGCGGCGCGCGCGCACGACACCGCGATGCTCGCCCTGGGCCGCGGCCGATCGGGGGCGGGCTGCCTCAACTTCCCGGACTCCGCGCGGCTGCTCGCCGTGCCACCGCCGTCCGCGCTCTCGGGCCTGGACGACGCCCGCCGCGCCGCCCTCGAGGCCGTCGCGGACTTCCAGCGCCGATTCGAGGCCTTCGCCGTCGACGAGGTGACATCGCGCGTGTCGGCTCCGCCGCCATTGCCGGACATTGTTTCCGGCTCGGCGGCGACGTCGCTTGAGCAAGTACCTGTGAAGACTGACGAGCCGGCGGCACTGGACGTCGAAGCGTTCGAGCCCGACTGGTTCGGCGACATGGACTTGGACACGTACTACGCCAGCCTCGCGGAGGGGCTGCTCATGGAGCCGCCGTCGGCGGCAGCTGCCTGGGAACATGGCGACTTCGGCGACGGCGGAGCGGACGTCGCGCTCTGGAGCTACTAGCAACTTAACAATAAGCTTTGACGATCCCCAACTGATTGTACCCTGTTATAACTCTGTAACAAAAATCAAATTGATTCCTGGCTAATTAACTTCAACGGTTCAAAATTTTCGTGTCAAACTTTTCGGTCCCTGTTCTTGTCTTTTGAGCATCGACACCTCGAGGTTCGTCCATGCAGTTTTTAGCCATAAACTGATTTTAAAGAGAGAGAGAGAGAGAGAGAGAGAGAGAGAGAGAGAGAACAGGAAAGCAACACATGCCTCAAAGAGTCCTTGCAAGAAAGGGCATCCGTTCATTTGCGAATTTTGCGACTGTAACTTTGTGATGGTCCCATAGACCAAGACACGAGCAAATAGTAGGCAACTTTCACGTGCTGGTGATCCGGTCCCAGTGACTGATCCAGAAGATGTGGCCATTCCACTTCGGACCCAGTCCGGTCATTCAACCTGCTCTGCTGGCTTAAGCCACTCGTTGAATCTTCTTTCCTTCTTGCAGTCAAAATCCTTCCAGTGAGTTACGCGAGCTGTCGCTTCACTGGGCGGAAGGGAAGCAGCAGCGGCGCTCTTTTCCCACAACGCGGTGAGGTCTCTTGTCTCATCGCCCCTTTCGGCCTTTCCTGTCCCTAGAGCCAAGGTCGCCTCAATATTTCTAGATGGCCGTTTCAGGCTCCACTGTGAGTACAACAACTGAGGGCAGAATTTTTATTTTATAGTCTTTTAATTGAAGAGAGTATCCGGAGTATCAGGTGGCAAATTTTGCTTCGACTGCCTGTTCGCTGCATACAGATACAGACACACGGCTAGCAGGTCTTACACGCGGGTAACTGCCGAGCAGGAGTCAGGAGAACTAAACAAAATCGATCAATCCTCGGGTCTCATGCTCCAAGACCAAAGTTTGCAATTATGTTTTTATCTTTTCATGTCCTAACATTGCTTCATGCTGAGTTGCTGACTGTGGTCTATCGGTCTATGGATGGCCAAGGAAAGACACTGCTGTGGCATCGCAGACTTTTTCTTACGCCAATCTGGAATACCAGCTTTGTGCGTTGACATCTGGAATACCTTCAAGATCTTCTCTAGTCCACTGAGGAACCCAAAACATGGTCGTACGTACCTCAGCAAAGAGATCGAACCGGAACGTTGTCAACGGGCCTCACCGGCCAAGCACGAGCCACCGCGGGCAAGGCAACCAGGAGATCAGCTTTGAAAAGTAAACGGAGACCAGACCACACGCCATGAAGCTGATAGTGTCCAGTGACGGAGTGACACCCCGAGGCCAAGGCAAGTAGGCAGTCACTGACGTCGGACCCCACCCCACCACCGCACCGCCGCAGTGGCTGACTTGGACCGCCACGCACGCCGATCCTCCACGCCACGCCACGCTGTCCATTTCCATTTCCATTTCCATTTCCAGCTAATCGCTTCTCCCTCCCCGCGGCACTGACAACCAGTCACCAACGTACCACCTGCACCGAGTTGACCACTTACCTACCTATATATACTTTCCTGCCTCCTCCCCCTCCCTCCATCCAAGTCCGAGCTCCATCGATCCCAGCACGACCGGAGCCACAGCCACCACGCCTACAGGATCTTCAGCGAGTCTGCAATGGACACGCACTCGCCGCTGCCGTCGTCCGCGGAGCAAGAGGGGTACCGGACGGTGTGGTCGGCGCCGCCCAAGAAGCCGGCGGGGCGGACCAAGTTCCGGGAGACGCGGCACCCGGTGTTCCGCGGCGTGCGGCGCCGCGGCCTGGCTGGGGCGGGGCGGTGGGTGTGCGAGCTGCGCGTCCCGGGGCGGCGCGGCTCGAGGCTCTGGCTCGGCACCTTCGCCACGCCCGAGCTGGCGGCGCGCGCGCACGACGCCGCCGCCATCGCGCTCACCGGCCGCGCCGCCTGCCTCAACTTCGCCGACTCCCCGTGGCTTCTCCCGCCGCTGATGCCCGCGGCGCTGGCCAGCGCGCGCGAGGTCAGGAACGCGGTCGCCGAGGCCATCGGGGCGTTTCCGGCGGCGCTCGGAGGAGTCGGCATCGCCAGCGGCGGAGACGACGGCAGACGAGGACGAGGAGGGCAGTGGCTCTTCTGGCGCAACGCCGTCGCTGGGCGTTGTAAAATGATTAGGGGAACGAGAGTACCCTTTCCTGGGCTCTCGATACGTGTTATATAGATAGGGAACAGCCCCCTATATGGCATGTACATCTTGATGTTTGTTACAACAAACTCTAGGTCATCTCTATCTCTATCTGCATGTTACAACAAACTATGCCGCGTGCTCAACAACCTTGAGCCTAGCGCATGTTCAATGAATCTAGACAATACAATCCTATTGTCTAACATCCCCTCTCAATCTCAACCATCTACAAGGTTGAGATTGGACCTAAATTCTTTCATCTTGGACACTGTCAAAGGTTTGGTGAAGCCGTCAGCAAGTTGATCATCCGTATGAATATATCGTATGTCAAGAAGCTTCTGAGCTACCCGTTCGCGAACAAAATGAAAGTCTATTTCAATATGTTTGGTCCTTGCATGAAAAACGGGATTTGCTGAAAGATACCTGGCACCAACATTGTCACACCAAAGCCGAGCTACAGGAGCATGACGAACTCCAAGTTCCTTCAGCAATCTTTGAATCCACATAATTTCTGCTGTAGTATTTGCCAAGGCCTTGTACTCCGCCTCTGTACTGGAACGTGAGACCGTAGGTTGCTTACGAGCGCTCCAGGACACAAGATTAGGCCCAAAGAATACGGCAAAGCCGCCAGTCGACCTCCTGTCATCGACGCAACCAGCCCAGTCGGCATCAGAGAAGCCGCTGACCATTGTGGACGCCGACTTCCTGATTTTCAGCCCAAGGTTCAACGTGCCGTGCACATAGCGCAGGATACGCTTGACAGCACTCCAATGTGACAAGGTTGGAGCATGCAAAAATTGACAAACTTTGTTTACCGCAAAAGATATGTCGGGCCTGGTAAGAGTCAGATACTGTAACGCCCCTACAAGACTTCTGTATCTTACCGAATCATCAGGTCCAAGTGGTGCACCTTCGGTTATACTCAGTTTTTCAATCGTAGACAGTGGTGTGTCAACAGGTTTGCACAAACTCATGCCAGCTCGCTTCAAGATCTCTGCAGCATACCGTTCCTGTGACATCACTAACCCATCTGGAACTTGCTTCACTTGAATGCCGAGGAAATAATGGAGATTCCCCAGATCCTTTAAGGCGAACTCCTTCTCAAGGTCTTGCAAGAGAGCATTTGTAGCTGCCTGTGAAGAGCTTGCAACAATAATATCATCAACATACACTAATACAAACATAGTGTAATTATCCTTGTGATAATAGAAGAGTGAGGTATCTCCTTTGGATGGTACAAAACCGAGCTGCTTAAGTTTGTTGCATAGACGAGCATACCAGGCACGGGGTGCTTGCTTGAGTCCATATAAGGCCTTGTCAAGTTTGCATACAAGAGATGGATGATCAGGATCTCTATAGCCCGGTGGTTGTCGCATATAGACTTCCTCCTCAAGAACACCATGCAAAAAAGCGTTCTGTACGTCAAGCTGCCGCAGAGACCACCCTAATGACACAGCAACTGCTAGAACAAGTCGAATTGTGGCAGCTTTAACAACGGGACTAAACGTATCCTCATAATCAATTCCATAACGTTGCTTGTAACCTTTGGCCACTAGACGCGCCTTATATCTGTCAATTGTACCATCGGCGTTCCTTTTAATTTTGTAAACCCACTTGCTATCAATGATGTTCTTTCCCTTGGGGAGAGGCACAAGGTGCCAAGTCTTATTCCGGAGCAATGCATTGTACTCATGATTCATGGCTTCAATCCACTTTGGATCCGTCACGGCCTCATTCAACGTCGTTGGTTCACCTTCAGAGGTCAGCAACATGCCCCATTTGACTGTGCCGTCAGTGTATTGCTTGGGCTTGTGTATCCCGTGCTGGCGCCGAGTCACAGGGCGAGATGACGCTTGATCGGAAGAAGACACAGGAGCTGTAGCAGGCACACGAGCCACATCTGATCCGGACGGATCTGATCCGCTGACCACGAGCGAAGGGGAGGACAGCTCCTGTCCCCCAGCGCCTTGACTCTGTCCCTCAGCGCCAGGATCATGCTGCGGTTGAGGCACCGGGAATGGAGTCACATGTGGCGGCGACGCTGGCGCAGAAGATCCCGCGGAGCTGGACGAGACCGTGTCGGACGCGACCAGGTCCTGCGCGTGCCCCGATATTGAAGTCAATTGTGCCGGGGCAGGTGAAGCAGACCCAGGCGGATCCATCTCGGCGACCGAGCCGCCAGTGTCTCGCCCAGGGGGACACAAAACATGACGACGATGAAGTGCACCGTTCTCAGCGCCGTTTCCGCCCGATCCACCACCATTTGATTCACCGTTTGTTCCTGTTGCATCAAGAAAACTTGGGCTAGTGCCACGGTTAGACAAAGTAGGAGAATCATCACACCGATCTAGTAAAATTGTGTCCCCAAAGGTGGTGGTAGGATTAAGAAGGGCATCGGGTAGGATGGAGAGCTCATATTTAAGGCGGGCACCAGCATTCGGATGGAGCCGAGAAAAGGGAAACACTTGTTCATCAAAAACAACGTCCCTGGATATGTACACTCGCCCAACAGAAGGTTCAAGGCATTTGAAGCCTTTGTGTAAAGGGCTATAGCCGAGAAACACGCATTGTTTGGAACGGAAGGCTAGTTTTTGATTATTGTAGGGTCGTAAATTAGGCCAACATGCACACCCAAAGGTGCGAAGAAAAGAATAGTCGGGTGGTTGGCCAAGAAGACGCTCATGTGGTGTTTCATTATTGATGACTCGAGAGGGTAATCTATTTATTAGAAAAACAGCCGTAGCAAAAGCTTCATCCCAAAAATTTAATGGCATAGACGCATGAGCTAGCAGGGATAACCCTACTTCAACAATATGACGATGCTTACGTTCAGCCGACCCGTTTTGTTGATGGGCATGAGGACATGATACATGATGGGCTATACCGACTCGGTTGAAAAAGGAATTTAGAGATTGGTATTCACCCCCCCAATCCGTTTGCATGGCTAGGATTTTGCGATCGAATTGGCGTTCAACCAGTTGCTGAAAATTACAAAATACTTGAAACACTTCAGATTTGTGACGAAGGAAGTAAATCCAAGTAAATTTACTGAAGTCATCAATAAAGCTAACATAATAAGTTTGACGACCAACGGATGAGGGAGCAGGGCCCCAAACATCTGAAAACACAAGTTCTAGAGGACTAGAGGACGCACTACTTGATTTGGGATAGGGCAGCTGATGGCTTTTGCCCATTTGACAAGCATCACAAACCAAGTTCTTATTTGAATCTAAAACAAAAGGAATCCTATGGCGACTAAGGACCTGCCGAACAATGGGTGTAGAGGCATGGCCCACACGGTGATGCCACAGGGTGGAGGTGGACTTGACGACAGCAAGCAAATTTTTATTTGGACCTGATCTGGATGAACTTGACTTCAGCGGATAAAGACCACCCTCACATGGTCCTTGGAAGATGACCTTCCTCGTGCCCTGTTCCTTGATAAAGAAGCGATTCGGGTGAAACTCAAGAAAAGCATCATTATCACTCGCAAGACGATGAACAGATAGTAAATTTTTACTAGCTTCAGGAACATGGAGAATTTTTCGAAGATGAATGGCGCTAGATGGGGTATGCAAAGTACTAGAGCCGATGTGATTTATCTCCATACCTGCACCGCTTGCAGAGTGGACTTGATCATGGCCGCCGTACTTGTCACGCACGGTGAGCTTGTCGAGCTCGCTGGTCACGTGGTCGGTGGCACCAGAATCGACATACCAATTGGTGTCAATCCCATAGGAAGCAGTAGTAGCCGAGGACGCACTCTTCTGTGGCGTAGGAGTGAAGTTGGCATCGAAACGCTTGTAGCATCTGAAAGGCGCCAGGCCTTCCTTTTCACGAACTGGCGAAACACGCCGCTCGGAAATTGCCGCCGCTTCGGCCACCACCACCACGCGCCGCCCTTGCCATGGTGGAAGCCCCCACGGTTGCCACGGCCACCGCGGTTGTTGGAGGTGTGGTTGCCGCTGCCGCCACGGCTGCTCTTGGTCGCAACATTGACGGAGGAGTTGGAACCCCCATCACGCGACTCCTTGCGTTGCTCATGGCTCATCAGTTGAGCGTAGAGCTCATGGACGGAGATCGGTTCGACCCGCGCCGTAACGGCAGCTACGACAGAGTCAAAGTCCTCACCGAGACCGGTGAGAACGTAGGAGACGATCTCTTCGTCCTCCAGCTTGCGACCCGCCGAGGCCATCTCGTCGGCGAGACTCTTGATCTTGGTGAAGTACTCCGCCACGGTGGACGTCCCTTTGGACGCCGTGGCGAGTGCCATGCGTGTGGCGATGACACGGGCACGGCACTGTGATGCATGAAGTTCTTGGATCGCGGCCCAGAGGGCAGCCGCCGAGGTCGCAGAAGAAACCTGGGAGAAAATCTCCTTGGAAAGAGATGAAAAAAAGGTAACTGAGGACCTGGCTATCGTTGGCGATCCACTCCTCGTACTCCGGATTCGGCACCGGAGCAGCCTTCTTGCCGTCGGCGTCGCTGGGCGGGTCGGGTGCGACGAACGCGTCTGGAGGCGCCGCTCCGACCCTGATGTGCTTGGCGAGGCGAGCACCCTTGAGGGTGTTGGAGACCTGGGCATGCCACATGCCAAAGTTCCCCCTGGTGAGCTTCTCAGTCACCGGCGGAAGGAAGCTAAACGCAAGCTTAGCGACGTCGGAAGCTTGCGCCATGGGGACGAATGTGTGGTGGATAGGATCTACCTAGTCTGATACCATGTAAAATGATTAGGGGAACGAGAGTACCCTTTCCTGGGCTCTCGATACGTGTTATATAGATAGGGAACAACCCCCTATGTGGCATGTACATCTTGATGTTTGTTACAACAAACTCTAGGTCATCTCTATCTCTATCTGCATGT